CGTAATCCGGATGCCTGAAGCCGCGTTTCGAATTGTTCTTATTCAAGTATGGCTGTAATGGGACCCAGTCTCAAAAGCTGGCATATGCTAAGCCAGAATGATCAGTCAAGGAGGATTAAGGACCATTACAGCCATACTTGAATAAGAACAATTCGAAACGCGGCTTCAGGCATCCGGATTACGCATCTGGCACTCCAATTTGGACTTTGATATTGCCTCTATGCTAGAGAAGACTCTGACTGGTTCTATCATCTTTGCACTTTGGCCTAGTGATTTATATCATACTTGTTGTTAGGCTTATTTGATTTACATTACACTTGCTGTTATGTTTATTTGATCATTATATACTTGCTTATTTGCTTGTAAGTTATTTTTTGCCAAGTGGTGTTCTCCTTTTTTTTGGTTCTTACATTGTACACTGGCTCCCCCCCCCCCTTTTTTTGGCTGAATGACCAAGGGATTGCAGGAGCCATTTATGGTCTTTCCAGCCACAAGTCCTGGAGAGAAATCAGCCAGGATTTCACCTCTGGAAAGTTAATCCTGACCAGATCCAAGTATCTCACGGACAGCAAATGGGCCATGCTCTTCTCTGCTGATCACCCCGCCCCGCTTGGTTCTCCTCCTCTCTCGTCGCAGGGAAGCGGATCTGCCTGGGTGAAGCCATGGCCCGCATGGAGCTCTTCCTCTTCTTCACCACCGTCCTCCAGAGCTTCCGGCTGAAGCCCCTCATGCCCCCAGAGGACATCGACACGACTCCCCTGGAGAGCGGCTTTGCCAACATCGTCCCCACGTACCAGATGTGCATGGTCCCACGCTGAGCGGGAACCCCGCCCGGAGCGTTCTCTCTCCCCTACGGCGCTCTCTTCGGCCGCGCAAGAAAGCCTTTTGGAGCACGTGGCGGGGGGAGAGAAAGGTGTCACAAATTGGCTTTTTTAAAATACGGCAACTGCACTTCACACAACTCTCTCAGGTTAGCACTTGTTCCCACATGTGGAGCAGGTGTGTTGGGGGGGGGAATGTAGGCAAGGCACAGGGGTTGCCCCCTCCTTAGCCATTCTCCGGTGTCCCACCCTATTGCAGCTATAACAAAGGGATATCCTGCCTTCCATTTTCTTCTCAGCTTGACACAGAGAGTACTCCCTCTTTCTGTGTCATACCTCTGAGGATGCCAGTCACAGCTGCTGGCAAAACGTCAGGTCCTACTATGCCAAGACCACGGCCACACAGCCTTGAAAATCTACAGCAACTAACGGGATATCCCTTTCTCTTTGCGTCTTATCTGCTTGCAAGAAACCGGACTGTGTTCTGATCGTTGAGGTTCCCTTGAAATCATCTTTGCTCCGGCCGTGCAATAAGCATCATGCGTATCTGTCTGAGTTTGCCGTTCACCCCCTAATCGTCGGAGTCTTCAGGCGTTCATTCCAGCTAAGCTCTGGTCATTGTAACAGACGGGGTTTTGCTGTGAATTATGCAAAATAAAGCTGGTCGCTTGCTTTGGGCCTCCAAACTGGACTCATTATCTGAGCACGACGCTAAAGAGAGGGAGACAGACTGTTGTCTCTAGGGACATACTAGTGTAGTCACCTGAATCTGGTTTGTAGCTCTGGGACAGATTCTGCAAAAGCAGTCGTTCCGCCCTCAGTTTCTCGTCCTGTTCCCCCCACCCCCGGGCTGTACGGCTCAATTTCCCACTATTTATTGCATGGCCGCATTTTGACCCACATATCCAGGGGTCATTTCGTAGAAAAAGAGGTGCATTAGCATAACATTAGCATAACTTGTTTGCATATGCCACACCCCCTGACATCACCGGAAGTGTGTCAGAAGGCAACCCTTCCTGCCCTCCCTCTCGTGATCTGCCCGAGTTTACAGAATTCGCATTGCTGTCAGATGGCCATCTAGCCTCTGTTTGAAAACCTCCCAAGAAGGAGAGCCCACCACCACCTCCCAGGGAAGCCTGTTCCCCTGAGAGACCGCTCTGTACCGCTCTGACCATTAGGAAGTTCCTCCTAATGGTTAGCTGAAAACTCTTCTGATTTAATTTCAACCCGTTGGGTTCTGGTCCAACCAGTGTTCCCTCTAAGCTGAGTTACTGTAAGGTAGCTCACAGTTTTTTAAGCCTCCGGCTCACAAATTTTTGTCTCAGCTCCGGTAGGAGGGCTCCAGAGCAAACTGACTGATGCAAGAGCCAAACCGCTCGCTCACAACTTGAATGCCAGTAGCTCACAAAGTAGAATTTTTGCTCACAAGACTCCACAGCTTAGAGGGAGCATTGGGTCCAACCTTCTGGGGCCACAGAAAACAACTCCGCACCATCCTCTATATGACAGTCCTTCAAGTACTTGAAGATGGTGATCGTATCCCCTCTCAGTCGTCTCCTCTCCAGGCTAAACATTCCCAGCTCCTTCAGCCTTTCCTCGTAGGACTTGGTCTCCAGACCCCTCACCATCTTCGCTGCCCTCCTCTGGACACGTTCCAGCTGGTCTGTATCCTTCTTAAATTGTGGTGCCCAAAACTGAACACAGCACTCTAGGTGAGGTCTAACCAGAGCAGAGTAAAATGGTGCCATCACTTCATCAGATCTGGACTCTATACTTTTGTTGATACAGCCCAAAATCGCGTTTGCCTTTTTAGCCATTGCATCACACTGCTGACTCATGTTCAGTGTATGGTCCACGGAGACCCCTAGATCCTTCTTGCACATACTACTGCCAAGACAGGTCTCCCCCAATCCTATAATTATGCATTTGCTTTTTCCTACCTAAATGCAGAACTTTACATTTATCCCCATTGAAATTCATTTTATTTCTTTTAGCCCAGTTTTCCAGCCTGTCAAGATCATCCTGTATCCTGACTCTGTCTTCTACCGTATTTGCTTACCCCTTCCCATTTAGTATCATCTAATGTCGATCCTAGGCTGCAACTACCTTCCCTCAACATGTATTCTGTTTTTGCCATACTGAACACCGTTTCCCTTGCAAGAGAAGACTGAGGAAAAGTAGGAATTGAGCCGTTCTGGCGGCTCTTGAAGCTGCCTTCTACTGAGTCAGACCCCTGGTTCATCAAAGTCAGTATTGTCTGCTCAGACTGGCAGCAGCTCTCCAGGGTCTCAGGCGGGGGTCTTTCTCATCCTCTGCTACTTGTTCCTTTACGTTGGAGATGCCGGGGATTGAACCTGGGACCTTCTGCATGCCAGGCAGAGGCTCTGCCACTGAGCCACAGATGCTTCCCCAAACAGGAACACACATGAAGCTACCTTCCACTGAATGAAGCTGCCTTCCACTGAATCTGACCTTTGGTCCATCAAAGTCAATATTTACTCAGACTGGCAGCCACTCTCCAGGGTCTCAGGCGGACGTTTTTCACATCACCTCCTGCCTGGTCCTTTTAACTGGAGATGCCGGGGACTGAACCTGGGACCTTCTGCATGCCAAGCAGAGGCTCTGCCACTGAGCCAGGGCCCCTCTTGATAGTTCTCCAGGGTCTCAGGTGGAGGTCTTTCCCATCACCTCCCGCCTGGTCCTTTTTAACTGGAGATGCCGGGGACTGAACCTGGGACCTTCTGCATGCCAAGCAGAGGCTCTGCCACTGAGCCACAGCCCCTTTTTACAGCTCTCCAGGGTCTCGGGTGGAGGTCTTTCCCATCACCTCTTGCCTGGTCCATTATTCACTGGAGATGCCGGAGATGGGGCCTGGGACGTTCTGCATGCCAAGTAGAGGCTCTTCCACTGAGCCACAGCCCCTCTTTACAGCTCTCCAAGGTCTCAGGCTGAGGTCTTTCACATCACCTACCACCTGGCAGGGTTCCCTCTAAGCTGAGTTAGTGTGAGCTAGCTCACAATTTTTTAGCCTCCAGCTCACAGATTTTTGTCTCAGCTCAGGGAGGATGGCTCCAGAGCAAACTAATTTATGCAGCAGCCAAATCGCTCACTCATAACTTTAATGCCAGCAGCTCACAAAGTAGAATTTTTGCTCACAAGACTCCACAGCTTAGAGGGAACACTGCCGCCTGGTCCTTTTAGCTGGAGATGCTGGCAACCGAACCAGGGACCTTCTGCATGCCAAGCAGAGGCTCTTCCACTGAGCCATGGCCCCTCCCCTTAAAGGGGTTCCAGCAGGTTTGCCATGCAACTTTAACTCCACAGCAAAACTTGAACACTCTCCATAGTTCCAGCATCCGCTTCCTTCCCCGTGGGAAAATGTTGTGTCTTCCTGCATTTTTCATCCATGCACTTCATGGCAAGAGAAGCAGTGCTTTCAGGTGTTTCTCAATCTGCTGTTTCCGGTCAAGGATATAGGAGGAGGTAGGCACCCAAGAGAGGAAGATGGGAAATTTGTTCGCATGGATTTCCACTTCATCTCCTGGACAGCTTTTCTGAATGAAGAGTTTGCAGTCTGAGCACAGAAATATCTTGCTGGAGAAACGACGGCTGAGGGGGGTTACATGATCGAAGTTTCTAAGATCATGCATGGGATACAGCAGGCAGAGAAAGAGGTCCCTTTCTCCCTTTCTCACCAGACAAGAACTCCTTGTGGGCACTCCATGAAATTGCTGAGCAGTCGGGTTAGAACGGATAAAAGGAAGTCCTTCTTCACCCAAAGACTGATTAACACATGGAATTCACTGCCACAGGAGGTGGTGGTGGCTACAAGCATGCACGGCTTCAAAAGGGAATTGGATAAGCATATGGAGCAGAGATCCATCAGTGGCTATTAGCCACAAGGTATTGATAGGGGCTCTGGGGCAAGGGATGCTCTGTATTCTTGGTGCTTGGGGGGGGGTCAACAGTGGGGGGGCTTCTAGTGTCCTGGCCCCACTGCTGGACCTCCTGAGGGCCCCTGTTATTTCTGGCCCCTGTGTGACACAGAGTGTTGGACTGGATGGGCCATTGGCCTCATCCAACATTGGAAGTAGTGACAGACTTCACGTTCCTGGGATCCCAGATCACCGCAGACTGTGACTGCAGCCATGAAATTAAAAGACGCCTGCTCCTTGGGAGGAAAGTGATGGCGAACCTAAACAGTATGATTAAAAGTAGAGACATCACCCTGCCAACAAAAGTCCGCATGGTCAAAGCAATGATATTCCCAGTAGTCATGTATGGCTGCGAGAGTTGGACTATAAGGAAGGCCGAGCGCCGAAGAATAGATTCTTTTGAACTATGGTGCTGGAGAAGACTCTTGAGAGTCCCTTGGACTGCAAGAAGATCAAATCAATCCTAAAAGAAATCAACCCTGACTGTTCCCTGGAAGGCCAGATAATGAAACTGAAGCTCAAATACTTTGGCCACCCAATGAGAAGGGAGCCCTCACTGGAGAAGACCCTGATGCTGGGAAAGATTGAAGGTCAAAGAAGACGGGGACGGCAAAGGATGAAATGGTTGGACAGTGCCACCGATGCAACGAACATGAAACTGAGCAAACTTCGGAGGACGGCAGAAGACCGGGAGGCCTGGCGTGATTTGGTCCATGGGGTCGCAAAGAGTCGGACTCGACTGTGTGACTGAACAACAACAAAACATTGGCTTCTCTGATCTTCTTGGGAGGGATTGTTCTCAGAATAAGCCATTGAAGGAGGAGAAGAAATTCCACACCAAACTGAAGATTCTTTATCTGCACCAAAGTCTCTTTATTAATCATGCTGTTCTGAGAAATTATTAAGCCATCGGACTTCGCGGCCCAAGCAACTCAAGGACCTTTTGCTGTGCTTCGATTTTACCGCATGACTTCTACCGTTGAGACTGGAGAGGCGGGGCAGAGACGGTGCCCTCCCCCTCTTTTTCATCCAAGCCCCCTTACCGTGGAACCATGCAAAGTCGGTAGGGTGGAGGTAACTTCCCACCGCTTCTTATTTCCGGCGAAATGTCGATTTCCTCCCGATCCTGAAGTGAACCCAGCTTGAAGTTCTGCAACAGCGTAGTGAGGAATAAGAAGAGCTCCATGCGGGCCAGAGCTTCGCCCAAGCAGACCCTTTTCCCTGGAGAGGGAAGAAACAAGATGATTGTATGAGGAATTCCCTCTTTGTGTAAGCTCCTTGCAGCAGCAGCAGAAGAAGGAGAAGAAGAAGGAGAAGAAGAAGAAGAAGAGAAGAGATTGGATTTATACCCCCGGCCCTTCACTCAGAGTCTCAGAGCGGCTGACAAACTCCTTTCCCCTCCCCACAACAGACACCCTGGGAGTGAGGTGGGGCTGAGAGAGCTCTTGACAGAAACTGCTCTTTTTCAAGGACAGCTCTTATCAGAACGACGGCTTGCCCAAGGTCATCCAACAGACACCCTGTGAGGTAGGTGAGGCTGAGAGAGCTCTGACAGAAACTGCTCTTTTTCAAGGACAGCTCTTATCAGAACTATGGCTTGCGAAAGGTCATCCAGCCAGGTGCAAGTGGAGGAGTGGGGAATCAAACCTGGTTCTCCCAGATTAGAGTCCGCGCACCTAACCATGACACCAAACTGACTCTGAAGAAGAAGGCAATGACAATGAGGACTTGGTTTCATACCGGGGTATGAAACCAAGTCCTTGTTGTCGTTGCCTTCTTCTTCACTACCCTTCACTTCACTACCCAAAGGAGTCTCGGAGCGTCTTACAAACTCCTTCCCTTCCTCTTCCCACAACGGACACCCTGTGAGGTAGGTGGGGCTGAGAGAGCTCTTGAGAGAACTGTGACTGGCCCAAGGTCACCCACCTGGCTCCATGTGGAGGGAGAGTGGGGAAATCAAACCCGGCTCTCCAGGTCAGACCCTGTCGCTCTTAACTACCACCCCACAGCAGGCTCAGAGGCAACACATGAAGAAGACAAGTCCTCAAGCCAATTGCCAGGGCATCTCTATGAATGCTAGTGTGGCCAGTGTGGGAAACTAGGCAAACAAAATGGCGGCCAGTCTCCATTAGAGCGCAGTCAAGCACATATGGTCTGTGCTAGGCTGAAACCCCAAGAGCCGGATTTTTTCTGGTCGCCGGGCTCAGCAAGGGCTTTTCGGGGGAAGGGGCGGATATTTCTTCCTTAGAGTCTTTCTCAAAGCCCTGCCTTCTCACAATGCCTTAGAGTCTTTCTCAAAGCCCTGCGGAGTAGGACCGCCGGGTTGGGCCGAGGGAGTAGTTGGAACATCGCGGCCCATGGCGTCCCCCCCCTGACCTTCTGACCTCCTCGATATATGCAGTGGGGAGTGTATAGTTTTAGTCTTTAATGTATCCTGTTAGTTGTGAATTTTTAGCTTCAGTTGTTCTAATCTGTTTGTTTTATTGCACGTTGTGCCTTGTAAGCCACCCTGCGCCTATGTGCGGGGAGGGCGGGATATAAATGGAATGAAATAATAAATAAATAAATAAATAAATAAATAATGTGCCTCTGACGTCATCTAGAGCAGTCACATTTCTTCTGGGAAACCAGACGTGTGCAATATCAAACACTGTATTTCTTTTCCCCAACTGCCTTTCTGTAGACTGTACTCTTGGTTTTTCGCTGAGCCCCTTGTGTGCGTGTCCCTCGCCCTGGAAGGACCAGACGCTCCCATGATCTCCCATGGAGACTTTGGGGGCACAGCATGAGGAAGGGGAGGTTTGGGGAGGGGAGGGGCTTCAATAGGGTCTAATACCATAGATCAGGGGTGTCAAACTTGCGGCCCGGGGGCCAGATCAGGCCCCCGGAGGGTCTTCTATCAGGCCCGCAGTGGAACTAGCTGTCTTCTGCGTCTTCTTCCAGTTCTGCTGCTGCTGCGTCACCGTAGGTTTGCAGCTTACAGATACAACGCCTGAACAGCATACTCAAGATTGCAACGGCACATTTTGATGCACTAATCCAGAGCAAGAGGTGTCAGTTATCCGACACCGTTAAATCGACAAAATATTGCAGGAGTCCTAATGTTTTAAGGATGCTTTTATTTAAAATTTTAAAAAACCCTTTGTGTTTGTGTCCTTGATAAAGTTTACATCTCCGCTACCTGGCATTACCTTTTATGACACACGTGGCCCGGCCGGACAACAGGTCTCATTTATGTCATATCCGCCCCGCGTAACACCCCTGCCATAGAGTCCGCCTTCCAAAGCAGCCGTTTTCTCCAGGTGAACTGATCTCTGTAGCGTGGAGATCAGTTTTAATTCCGGGAGATCTCCAGGCCCCAACTGGAAGTTGGCGGCAGCCCTATCTATGAATGCCACCCTCAAATGTTTGCCATTTTCTGATTTTTGGTTGAGGGTACGTAAATGGATTAAAGTTAGGTTATAATAACAGATTCAAAAGGTATGGAAATATAAGATGTGGATGATTGTTTATATATGTCAAAACTAATAAAAATAAATAAATAATAAAAAAATGTTTGCCATTTTCTTCCTGCCACCCAGTTCTTAAACCCTCCTAAAGCTTAGCCATGCCACTCCTCACGTTTCCACCTTCCTTCCATTCTGGGACCAAATAAAGAACATGCAGAGAATCACAGAATCACACAGAGCTGGAAGGGGCTATTCAGAGGCCATCTAGTCCAACCCCCTGCTCAGTGCAGGATTAGCCTCGAGCATCCCTGACAAGTGTTTGTCCAGCTGCTGCTTGAAGACGGCCAGGGACGGGGAGCTCACCACCTCCTGAGGCAGCCGGTTCCACTGCTGCACAACTCTGGCTGTAAAAAAGTTTTCCCTAAGATCCAGCTGGTCCCTTCCCGCCCTTAATTTAAACCCTTGATTGGGAGTCCTCTCCTCTGCTGCCAACAGGAACAGTTCCCTGCCCTCCTCTAAGGGACAGCCCTTCAAATACTGAAAGAGAGCAATCGTGTCCAGTGTTCCCTCTAAGGTGCGTTAGTGTGAGCTAGCTCACAGTTTTTTTAGCCTCCGGCTCACACATTTTTTAATCTTAGCCCAAGAAGGATGGCTCCAGAGCAAACTAATCTATGCAGCAGCCAAATCCCTTGCTCACAACTTTAACGCCAGTAGCTCACCAAGTTGAATTTTTGCTCACAGGACTCCACAGCTTAGAGGGAGCATTGATCGTGTGCCCCCCTCCACCTCCTCTTCTCCAGACTGAACATCCCCAAGTCCCTCAGCCTTCCCTCGTAGGGCTTCTTGGTCTCCAGGCCCCCAATCATCCTCGTTGCTCTCCTCTGCACCCGCTCCGTTCTATCCACATCTGTTTTGAAGGGAGGCCTCCAGAACTGCACATGATAGTGCGGCCTGACCAATGCAGCGTACAGCATACAATGCAGCGTACAGTGGGACCATCACATCTTTCAATCTGGGTATTTTGCCTCGATTGATCCACCCCAAGATCGCATTCGCCTTTTTTGATGCTGCATCACACCGGCTGCTCCTATTTACCTTACGGTCCACCCTTACCCCATGGTCTTGTCCACACGCACTGCTACCCAGAAACATCACCTGCTGAAAATGGTATGAAGGCCTCGCTCCTCTTAAAGGCCCCGTTTTCATCCAGAAAGTGGCCTGGGTTGAACTTCTCGGGCGTCTCGAAACGCTGGGGGTCATGCAGGATAGTGGTCAGGAAGGTCAGGATGGCGGTGCCCTGGGAAACGAGCAAGGGCACAGCAATCGTTACGGGGGCTTGTTCAAACTGCCCCTAGAGCCGCGTTCTCCTACCCACACACTTTGCCCCAATCTGCCCACTGGTTCCACGTTGACTTCAAACCTGGAATGGAAAAACCATAATAGTACTGATTTGTGTGTCTACGGTGTGCTCAGATCCCTTTGCGAGCAAGAAGGGATTTCAAAAGCCGACTGTTGGGATTTGCAAGGACTAAAGAATGCTGCCGGAACACGTCTGATGCTTACAGCTGACCAAACTCCCTGTAGACTGCGAAGTGTGTGTGATTAGAAATGATATATGTTGTCCTCCCTTACCCCCATCATTGTTAGTCCCGTGTCAACACATGAGTAACTGTAAATGGCTCAGAGCCGGCAGCTCTGCAAGGATTGAGCGATCAATAAATTGAAAGATTATTTTTAAATTTTTTTAATTCTTTCTCCCTGATAAGAAATGAACCTGCAAGCAGTGTTTTCTCCAAGCTGAGTTTGCGTGAGCTGACTCACAGGGGGGGTTTTGCCTCCAGCTCACACATGTTTGTCTCCGCTCAGGAAGGAGGGCTCCAGAGCCAACTCATTTATGCAGTAGCCAAATTACTGGCTCACAGCTTAAATGCGCGTAGCTCACAAATTCGAATTTCTGCTCACAGGACTCCAGTGCTTAGAAGGAACACTGCCTGCAAGCCTTCAGTTTTGCAACATTATCAGGTCCCTCACACCTGGTTTCCCTCCCACTAAATTAACAGATTTTTCAAGCTTTGTTTTGTTATCGAGTATATAGAAATATATACATGGAGCTGCGGTGGCTTAAGGGGTTAAGACGCTGAACTGCAGGCTGTGGAAGGTCAGTAGTTCAGCAGTTCGAGACCCGAGTGTGCCGCATGACGGAGTGAGCTCCCGTCTCTAGTTCCAGCTCCTGCCAACCTAGCAGTTCGAAAGCAAGAAATTGCAAGTAGATAAATAGGTACCACTTCGGTGGGAAGGGAACAGCGTTCCGTGCACCTTGGTGTTTAGTCATGATGGCCACATGACCACGGAAACATCTTCGGACAGCGCTGGCTCTTCGGCTTTGAAACGGAGATGAGCACCGCAACCCTAGAGTCGGATTCGACTGGCTTTCGAGCAAGGGAACCTTTACCTTTACCTATATAGAAATATTGTATAAATACCCCAGGGATGTAGGACAGATCCTGACCAATGCTCCCTCTTAGCTGTGGAGTCTCGTGAGCAAAAATCCGACTTTGTGAGCCACTGGCATTAAACCTGTGAGTGAGCGACTTGGCTACTTCATAAGTTAGTTTGCTCTGGAGCCCCATCCTTCCTGAGCGAAGACAAAAATGTGTGAGCCGGAGGCTAACTCAGCTTAGAGGGAACAGTGATTCCTGACCCAGCAGCACTAATGCTTCTGTTTCCAACACACCTTGGGAATGGTGTATCCTCGGAATTGCGTGTCGCTTGTCGCTACACGAGGAACCCCCAGAGGGGAGAAGTCTGCGAAGCGTAGGATCTCCTGGACGGTCGCATCCGTGTAGGGCATCTTGGTCCGGTCCTCCATGGAGGGGCTACGATTCCTCCCGACGACCTCGTCGATCTCTGCTTGGATTTTTGCTGTCAACAGATGGGTGGACGCAGAGGTTAAGATTACAGTCCTCGTTTTCTCCTGCATTGATTTCAGTGGTAAAGAGCGAGAGGCAGTTCGTCTTGCTTTGACTCCGAGCCGAAAGGAAACCCACAAACCTGCCTGGCTAGTCCTGTCCAGTACAGATTAGTTGCTCTGCACCAGTGTTCCCTCTAAGCTGAGTCAGTGTGAGATAGCTCGCAGTTTTTCAGCCTCCGGCTCACACGTTTTCCCCCTTAGCTCAGGGGAAGGATGGGGCTCCAGAGCAAACTCACTGATGCAGTAGCCAAATTGCTAGGTCACAACTGAAATCCCAGTAGCTCACAAAGTAGAATTTTTGCTCGCAAGACTCCACAGCTTAGAGGGAGCAGGGGTCATTTTGTAGAAAAAGAGCTAGGGGGACTCATTAGCATAACTCATTAGCATATGCCATACCCCCTGACATCACCGGAAGTGTGTCATAAGGCCACACCCCCTGACATCACCGGAAGTGTGTTATAAGACCACACTCACCACTCAGTTAGTCTTAAAGGTTAGTCTTAAAGGTGCGGGAGTGCGAGGAAGCCCCGCGAAGGCCCCCCTCCCCCAACGGTCCCGGCCGCCGCCACCGGCCTTGCAGCTTTCCTGCCAAGCCCCATGAGGGGCCCAGCGGCGGACCTGCAAGGCCGGCGGAAGTGCGAGGAAGCCCCACAAAGGCCGCACGCCCCCAACGGTCCCGGCTGGCGGGAGTGCGAGGAAGCCCCGCCAAGGCCCTCCCTGGCCCCAGGCAGGCAGGGGTGGGGAGAGGTGGGGAGGAAGCAACTTACCCTCCCTCTTCTCCTGCCTCCTCCTGGCTGAATGAGGGCTGGAAGCGGGGCGGCTGGAAGCAGGGGGCGGGGCTTCGTCATATGCCCCGCCCCCCTGCACCTCACCCGGGGGAACAGTGATCCCCCCCCTGATCCCCCCGAATTGACCTCTGAGAGGGAGCATTGCTCTGTACTCCGGAACGATCCACTGTGTCTTATTTCTAGTTTCAGATGGCGGCCATCTTGGTCTCTGGTACGACAACTAGATTCGAGCTTAGTAGCAGCTTGGAGACCAGCAAGATTGGGGGGGGGGGGGTTAGAAGCTTTCGAGAGTCAAAGCAGAGCTTATGTCCCCAACATCTTGTTGGTCCCCAAGCTGCTACTGGGCTCAAATCCAGCTGTGTTGTGTTTAAATACCCTGGCAGGAAACAGCTGCATTTCCCAGCACTAAACTGAGCACCAAAATGTTACTGTGCCCTGTGAACTCACCAGAAACAGGCCATTTTCAGTACACCGTTGCCTCTTAGTATTTAAATGAACCTTATTTTGCTCAGGAAACTTAGAACCGTGTTTACCTTCTTGTCAGGAGAATATGCCACTCCTTGAGTTCAGTAAAACATAAGAACATAAGAGCTGCCAATGCTGGATCAGGCCAATGGCCCATCCAGTCCAACACTCTGTGTCACACAGTGGCCAAAAATACCAGGTGCCATCAGGAGGTCCAGCAGTGGGGCCAGGACATTAGAAGCCCTCCCACTGTTGACCCCCCACCCCCAAGCACCAAGAATACAGAGCATCACTTGCCCCAGACTGAGAGTCCCTATCTATACCTTGTGGCTAATAGCCACTGATGGATCTCTGCTCCATATGCTTATCTAATTCCCTTTTGAAGCCGTCCATGCTTGTAGCCGCCACCATCTCCTGTGGCAGTGGATTCCATGTGTTCATCACTCTTTGGGTGAAGAAGGACTTCCTTTTATCCATTCTAACCCGACCGCTCAGCCATTTCATGGAGTGCCCACGAGTTCTTGTATTGTGAGAAAGGGAGAAAAGTAGCTCTTTCTCTACCTGCTCTTTCCCATGCATAATCTTGTAAACCTCAATCAAGAAGTTTGCTTGTTATTGCAGTGATCAGGAGCTGGATATAAATTATGCAAAGACAAAGGTGATGGCCTTTGGCAAGAGACCCAAAATAAGGAAGTGGAGGGTAAACGGGCAGAACCTTGAACAGGTAGCTAGCTTTCGCTACCTAGGCATGATCATCCAAGCCTCTGGATCTAGGACTGCCCATAGTCAGGCAGCTGCTTGCTCGGGTGAAAAATCCTCGCATGGTATTCTTAAGTTCTTCAGCTCCCAAGGGGGCTATTTTGTACCACCAGCCCAAAAACTTTATAAGGCCAAAACACTTGCCCAGATGCTCTACGGAACGCTGCTTGGAGCGCCTCCATCCAGCTATGCTCCCTTGGAGCTAGTCCAGTCAAAGTTTTTGAGAGCAGTGCTCCAAGTTCCGAGATGCGTATCTAACGCAATGGTACGGTTAGAGACTGGCATGCTGAAGGTTGAAGCCATGATTGCCTTATACTCCATCTTCTATTGGCTGAAGATTAATTTGAACCCGTGTGGACTAGCGCCCCTGATTCTGACTGATGCCTTCGAATCTAATTGGCTGATTTCTGTTAAGCGGAAAATTTCGTTCTTGGGGTATTCTCCCCTAGGGCTTCTGGAGATGGGTAGGGACCGAGCTAAGTTAGAAATTAGACAGAGGATCAAGGATACCGAACGCCAATTAGATCTACAGGTGTCCCCAACATTTATAGCGCCAATTAGTAACAAATACATCGTTGCGCAGGCCCCATATCTTAAAGTTTTGGAGTCCCGTAAACTCAGGAGGGCATATACTCTGGCTAGATGCTCGGCCTTACCCTCTGCAGTTCTCGAGGGTAAATTTTAAAAAATACCCTGAACAGAGAGGCTATGCTTATGTACATTGGGGGAGATCGAATCCCAGGAACACGTGTTCCTGAGAGGCCCGTTATTTGAAGAGGCTCGTACTAAACTTATTGATCCCCTTCTGGCAGGCACTTTGGATCAGGACAAGATGGAGAACTTGTTTCTTAACCTTGAACATACAGCGCTCCATCAGATTGCAAAATTTTGTTCCTTGATGGTAGAAGTGCACCAGCGTGATGGTTGTCACTCGGGTTAGGACTATTTATTCTTTTATACTATACTGTGTTTTAAGGCAGCGTATTTATAGTTTGGTCCTAACGAACGTAACGTTTACAATGTTAGTTCTTTTTACCTTGTTGAATTTTGGAAATTTTACTATCTAGCCATTGTAATTTATTTATTCTGGTTTTATATTGCTGGCTAATCGCTGTTACAATAAATTCATTCATTGTAAACCTCAATCATGTCACCCCTTGTATGGACATCTTGTATGGATATTTACTTTATATCAAGCTATGAAAGACAAAATCCCTTGGCAATTATTTTTCTTTCTTTTAAGCATAGACCAAAGATAATCAGTACAAGAATTGTAATATAACGCATCAATTGAAGGAGTTCCGGCATTTGAGTTTCAGTAGATCAACACAGCAATTCTAAGCAGAGTTACACCTCAGCCCACTGACTTCAGCTTATTCAGAAGGGCATAACTCTATTTAGGACTGCATCATAAGGAGCAGCAGAACCTTAGTACCTCATCTTTTCACCAGATTGTTAAAACCATTGTTCCCTCTAAGCTGAGTTAGTGTGAGCTAGCTCACAGTTTTTTAGCCTCCGGCTATACATGTAATATCGTTCTTTTCACCTTTAGATTTATTTTGTATCACAATGTCTGAGATTTTTTCCATTATGTATAGGTTCCATAGTTTTTCATACCAGAGGTTTACGCTTAGTTTACTTCTGGATTTCCATGTGGATGCTATTGTAGTTTCGGCTGCAAATAGTAATAAGGTGATTTTTTTTTTCTTTGTGTAATAGATAGAGCGTTCTCCGCTCTGAGATTTAGAAGTAATGCTTCCGGAGTTTTGTCAATTTTGTGTTCAGTTATGTTTCTTATTTCCTCTAATACTTTGTCCCAAAAGGATGCTACTACAGGGCATTCACACCAGCAGTGTATGTAATTGCCTATTTCTTTGCATCCCCTCCAGAAAAGGGGGTCTGAATTACTTGAGATGTGTGATATTTGTTGTGGAGTTTTGTACCACTTGGACATTATTCTGAAAGTTTGCCATTTTTGTGCAATGATGGGGGATTTATTTTCATAGGTTCTCCAGATGTCTAACCATTTATCTTGGGTGAGATTAGTTTTACAAATTTCCCCCCAGTATTTTTGATATGGTAGCGTTGTGTTTTCTTGAAACGACGTTAAGATGGCATAAATTTTGGATATTACCCCTTTTTTGCATTCATCTGCATTTCTTATCAGGGCTTCAAAGCGGGTTATGGCTTTTTGCAAAATTTCTCTACGTTTTATTTTTGAGCACAGATGATTAAATTGAAGGTATTGATACCATGGTATACTTCGATCAAATTTGCGTTCCATTGTGCGAACAATTCTCTATTTAATGTAAAGTGTTCTAATTTTGTCATACCTGCTTCTTTCCATTTTATGTACTCTTAGGTACATTGTCCTGGCGGGTACCAGGATTTACCGTAAAATGAGGAGAACCTTGAAACGATTGGTGTGAGTTTTTTCCTGGACTTGTCCCAGATTGTTAGTGTTCGGTTTAGACATTTGTCTTGTTTCTTCTGGTCTAATGTTGGTCTGTTGCCAAAAGAGATCTCTAAGAGTGTGTGGTTTTGCATTTTCCGATAGGAAGGCATGTCTGAGGCGTTGTCAGCGAAAACTGCTTTCCTCGGATCTTCAATCCCTTCTTCCGGATCTGAATCGCTATAGAGGGCTGTGCAAAAGGTCCCATAGCGCTTTCTCCTGTGACGGGTTTTTCGTGCCCTTCCCCCCCCCCCCTGGCACACAATCTCAACTCTTTTTTTAAAAAAAATTCTATTGGAAGTGCTATAACGCTATATAGCCGCCCTGAGCCCGTTCGCGGGGAGGGCGGGGTATAAATGTAATAAAATAAACAAATAAATAATAAATAACAGGATGTCGAAACAGCGTCACAGCGTTCCCAATAAAATGTAAAAAAAAAACCCCACCTCTCGGGGAGATGGTGCGCACGGAGGGAAACGGCGGGAAGAAGAAAGCAGCACAGTTTGAAATGGCCACAGCGCATCAGAGACGGCTCCTTACCAGAAGGGAAATGCTGTGTGAAACAGCCATCCCTGTACCGGTTTCCTCCGTGACGGGCCCATAACAGAAACCATGCGGTTTAAAAAGGGTAATGTGAAATCGACCAATGAATACAGGCAAGGAACTAGGCAGACACCAGAGCACATGGCGACCCACAACAGCACAGAGAGACCTTAGATCTGGGTTTGTCACCTTCTATCTCTGGGTATCGGAGGAGGAGGAGGAGCCCGTACCGCATGGTAGTGCTAACCGATTCCGTCCCTGCAAAGAACAGGTTGAGAACAGTCACCGTCAGGTTCTCCTCGACAAATTCAGAAGCAGGGTTCTCTCTCTCCTGACAAAGGGAAGAAGAGAAGAGAAGAAGAGATTGGATTTATACCCCGTCCTTCACTACCCAAAGGTGTCTCAGAGCGGCTTACAAACTCCTTTCCCTTCCCCTCCCCACAACAGACACCCTGTGAGGTAGGTGGGGCTGAGAGAGCTCTTGACAGAAACTGCTCTTTTTCAAGGACAGCTGTGCCAGAGCTACGGCTTGCCCAAGGTCATCCAGCCAGGTGCAACTGGAGGAGTGGGGAATCAAACCCGGTTCTCCCAGATTAGAGTCCGCGCACTTAACCACTACACCAAACTGGAAGAAGGAGACAGTGACATTGTTAAGCAACAGGCAGGCCAAGGTGCTCAGAGGGGTTAGTTAGGATTCGTGGCCCTAAACTACCTCAGAATTAGGCTTGCCAGCTTCCAGACAACACAGATCAGTTCCCCTGAAGAAAATGGCCGATTTTTAAGGTGGACACTATTGTAAGGTGGACACCCTGCTGGGGGCCCTCCCCTCTCCAAACCCCACAACTCCCCAAGATCTGCCTCCAAAAGCTCCGGAAATTTCTCGAGCCAGAGTTGGTGACCCTACAAAGGGATTGGCTAAAATTATGGAGGCTACTCAGAGAAGTAAAGTGTATTTTAAAGCACCGTGAATCTGCGCTTGGAAACGGGGAAAGCGGAATCCACACCACAGTTTCAGCAGGTTGTTGACAGGAAAAAAACCTTATTTCCCGACGATGCATTTTAAGATCATGATAACAATGCTCGGTCTCTTTTGCCATGTTCAAAACTTTGCATTGTTTTCTTTGAACGGCTGAACCCAAAACCTTTTGAAATTAGGAATTTCAATTTTTTTAAAAAAAGGATAAAATGAAGGATAAAAATTCAAATTTTGGCCGCTGACACCTTTCCTGGCGCTGTCCTGTGTTTTTAGAAAGTGAGTGTCGCCAGGTAGGGATTTTTTTCCAGTAAGGTTTCTGATTGGCCATTGGAGAATCGGTTGGCTGTGCAGGTTTTTAAAAATGTAGCTTTGGCAGCAGCTGCCACAACAGCACAAGGATCTTCACTGTGTGACTGACCAGCTCCGGAAGCCATTTTGTGGCTGGCTCCGCCTCTTGCAGTGGACATTTTGTGGCTGCGCTCACTACTGTGTCACAATTCCGAAAGGGCCCGCAGGATCGAAAAGCCTGGGGACCCCTGGAGTATACTATACAGATTTTGCACTTCCAGGAAACACGAGCTAGCATCATTTCCCTTGCCCTTCGGGGCTGATTTCTTTCCACCAAATTCATTGTAGCTCATAGAGTTGCCAAGTCCATCTTCGCCCCCAGTGGGGGACTTCGGGGGGCATTCCTTCCTGGAGGGGACGGGGCATCCTCGACATGATGACGTCACGTTGGGGCCTTCCGCCACTCCCCCGTCCCCCTGCGCGCCCAATCTCCTTGGAGATCCAGCGCGGGGAAACGCCAGCTCCCTGCGCTTAAAGGGAGACCCTTTAAGTGCAGGGAGCCAGTTTTTCTCCGCGTGCCTGATCTCAAGCGGAGATGGGTGCATGCAAGGGTCATTCCGTAGAAAAAGAGGTGCAGGGGCTCATTAGCATAACTCATTTGCATACGCCACACCCCCTGGCATCACCGGAAGTGTGTCAGAAGGCAACACCCACCGCTCAGGCTCCACTGGACTCTTCTGGATTGCTAGCTATTATGGGGGGGGGGGGCGTGCAGATCTGTCCTGGCAGAGGAGGTAGAGCTTGTACCTGAATAAAAATTGGCCTTAAAGGTGCCACTGGACTGTTTTGGACCTCTTGGCTCTGCAGCTTAACTGGCTGCTTCTTGCTCTGACTGAGGGCAGCTGGGAGCAGGGGGCGGGGCTTGTTGCATGTGCCCGCCCCCTGGGCTCTTTACTGCCGGAACTCTGCTCCTGTGCGCTCCTGCAGGAAATGACCCCTTGGTGCGTGGCCCACAGCCACCCCTCTCCCTCCTCTCTCTCAAGCGGGGGACCCCTGCCAAACCGGGGGGGGGGGCGTTGGCAACCCTCATAGCTCATCTCTCAGTATTCAGTTAACTGAAACCGCCTCTCCGCAAAAGTACCTGCTCCATTTTAGTGAGGAAACAGTCAATGAAATCTCGAGGGCAGTTGGGATCGAGTGACTCCCGATGCATCCGTATCCTCCCAGAGACAAAGCGTTCTAACTCATCCATGTAGACAGCTAACTTGCGATGTGGGCCAGGGGCGATTTTCATCAGGCGTGGGAATAAAACGCATAGCTTTGAGAGAAAAGTTATATGTCACCGTCAGAACCTTACCAATCATCAGGGGTCGTCTCGTAGAAAAAGAGCTAGGGGGACTCATTAGCATAACTCATTAGCATATGCCACACCCCCTGACATCACCGGAAGTGTGTCATAAGGCCACACCCCCAGACATCACCGGAAGTGTGTCATAAGGCTACCCCCCCTGCCCCCACCGGTCCATCACCAGAAGTGTGTCATAAGGCCACACACCCCGCCCCCAACGGTCCCGGCCGCCGCTGCCGGCCTTGCAGCTTCACTGCCGAGCCCCATGAGGGGCCCGGCGGTGGACCTGCAAGGCCAGCGGGAGTACAAGGAAGCCCCGCAAAGGCCCTCCCTGGCCCCAGGCAGGCAGGGGTGGGGAGAGGCAGGGAGGAAGCAACTTACCCTCCCTCTTCTCCTGCCTCCTCCTGGCTGAATGAGGGCCGGAAGCGGGGGGCGGGGCTTCGTCATGTGCCCCGCCCCCGTACCTCACCCGGGGGAACTGCGATCCCCCGCGTTCCCCCCCCGAAATGACCTCTGCCAATCATATTCCGGGCCATGCTCCCTCTAAGCTGTGGAGTCTTGAAATCCTACTTTGTGAGCTGCTGGCATTAGAGTTGTGAGCTTATTTTATCTCTTATGCCAATAAAGGTATTGTATTTGCATTTGTGAGTGGTGAGCCAGCGATTTGGCTGCTGCGCAAATTAGTTTGCTCTGGAGCCCTCCTTCCTGAGCCGAGACAAAAATGTGTGAGTTGGAGGCTAAAGAACTGTGAGCTGGCTCACACACTAACTCAGCTTAGAGGGAACACTGGTTCCGGGTCCTTTCTCCCCACCCCCACACTGGGAAAGGCAACTGAGGATCTAGAAGGATCTAGAACTCTTCCTTGGCCCCAAGAGATTGGTCCAGGTGGGCATACAATGTTCCCTCTAAGCTGTGGGGTCTTGTGAGCAAAAATTATTCTTTCTGAGCTACTGACATTAAAGTCGTGAGCGAGTGATTTGGCTACTGCGTAAATTAGCTTGCTCTGGAGCCCTCCTTCCTGAGCTAAGATAAAAAATGTGTGAGCCAGAGGCTGAAAAACTGTGAGCTAGCTCACACTAACTCAGCTTAGAGGGAACACTGGTGGGCAACTGTGTTGGTCTGAAGCAGGAGAACAAAATTTGAGTGAACAATTCATATATATACTATATATAAAGGTGCCTGACTGGACTCTAACTTTGTTCTGTGGCTTCAGGGCAACACGCCTGCCCACTTTGTGTGCATATATATACAGGGGTCATTTTGTAGAAAAAGAGGTGCAGGAGCTCATTAGCATAACTCATTAGCATAACTTATTTGCATGTGCCACACCCCCTGACACCACCGGAAGTGTGTCAGAAGGCAACACCCACCACTCAGGCTTCACTGGACTGTTTTGGATTGCTAGCTATTGGGGGGGGGACGTGAAGATCTGTCCTTGCAGAGGAGGGAGAGCTTGTACCTGAATAAAACTTGGTCTTAAAAGTACCACTAGGCTGTTTTGGATTGCTAGCTATTGGGGGGCGTGGCGTGCAGATCTGCCCTCACAGAGGAGGGAGAGCTTGTGCCTGAATAAAACCTGGTCTTAAAGGTGCCACTGGACTGTTTTGGATTGCTAGCTATTGGGGGGGGGACACACGTGCAGATCTGTCCTCGCAGAGGAGGGAGAGCTTGTACCTGAATAAAACCTGGTCTTAAAGGTGCCACTGGACTGCTTTGGACCGGGGGGGGGGCTCTGCAACTTACTCGGCTGCTTCTTGCTCTGACTGAGGGCTGCTGGGAGCAGGGGGTGGGGCTTGTGGCATGTGCCCGCCCCCTGGGCTCTTTACTGCCGGAGCTCCGCTACTGTGTGCTCCTGCAGGAAACGACCCCTCTGTGTGTGTGTGTATATATATATGTGTGCATGTGCGAAGTGTTCACTTCCATTTCACTGTATCTGAGGAAGTGTGCTTTGCACACGAAAGCTCACACCTTGAATTAACTTTTGTTGGTCTTAAAGATGCCCCTGGGCTCAACATTTGGCCCCCAGAGGTCACGAGACGCAAGGGAATGGTCCGCTTCTCGAGCAGTTCCTTCCCTTACCTGCATCCAGGGGGAGAACAAAAGAACTAGGATTTTCTTGATCAAGTCGAGGAAAGTGATGAATTCCTTGTCCTCGTATTCGAACCGGTTGCCAAACACCACGGAGCAGATGACGTTGGAGGAGATGTGGCTGAGGTGAATGGAGGGGTCGAACGGATGCCCTGCGAAAGGAGTTGGTGGAGGGGGAGGGGGAGAAAACCAGAATACTTATTAGATGTTGTCCAGGTCCGTTCCTAGACTAATTGCAGAACACCTTGCAGCGAATGTGCCTCTTCACGAGTTTCCAAAATTTCACGGGTCTCACATTGCCTTTTAAAAAATTCCTTTTTTGTGTCAGATGACATCTTCTGGATCCGTCCCAAAAAGTCAGGTTGCCAATCTCCAGGTGGTGGCTGGAGGTCTCCAGAAATTACAACACTGAGGTCCGTCCCTTACCCCAACCCTGCCCTTCCCAGGTTCCGCCCCCCCAAAATCTCCCAAGTTTTTCCCAACCCGAGCTGGCCATCCTACCAAAAAGCCATTCCTTCCAGCAGTGCTCCCTCTAAGCTGTGGAGTCTTGTGATCAAAAATTCTACTTGGTGAGCTACTGGCATTAAAGCCGTGAGCCAGCAATTTGGCTACTGCGTCAATGAGTTTGCTCTGGAGCCCCATCCTTCCTGAGCTGAGACAAAAATTGTGTGAGCCGGAGGCTAAAGAAGAGAAGAAGAAGAAGAGAAGAGATTGGATTTATACCCCGCCCTTCACTTGGAGGCTCAGAGCGGCTTACAAACTCCTTTCCCTCCCCCTCCCCACAACAGACACCCTGTGAGGTGGGTGGGGCTGAGAGAGCTCTGACAGAAACGGCTCTTTTTCAAGGACAGCTGTGCCAGAGCTTGTGACTGACCCAAGGTCACATCAGCAGGTGCAAGTGGAGGAGTGGGGAATCAAACCCGGTTCTCCCAGATTAGAGTCTGCGCACTTAACCACTACACCAGACTGGCTGTGAGCCAAATTGCTCACACTCACTCAGCTTAGAGGGAACCTTGCTACTCTGTTTTTCATGAGTACGAGCCTCATCTAGTATCTCTGATATTCTTTAGAAAAGCTGAAGGAGAAAGGGCTAGAAAAAGGGAACCACGCATGGGATTCAACAGCGAAGGGAACCGACAGAAGGAGAAATGAACGTTGAATGGGGAAAACTGACGCACACATCGCTTCAAAAGTTCCCAGCCTTCAAATGAATTTATTAGCTGCTGTACATTTTCCGGGCTGTGTGGCCGTGGTCTCGGCATTGTAGTCCCTGACATTTCGCCCGCAGCTGTGACTGGCATCCTCAGAGGTATAACACAGAAAGGTGGAGTACTCTCTGCGACAGTGCTATCGATCAATCAGAATTTCAGAACATTTTGTGTTTGGATCGATAGACCATATTTCAAACTCATGCAAAACTTCATGTTGCATCTTTTGAAAGATCGGTCTGTTCCCCCCCACCCCCCGGATGAAAACGGCATTCTCTTGAGGGAACGAAAATAACCAGACTCACCTTCTGTCTTCTTTAGCTCTTCCACCAAGAACCCAGCTTCCTCCTGGATCCGTTCCTCTATGGATCTCTTCCCCATTCCGAAGTTCCTCAAGGTAGTGAGGGAGAAGCGACGGAGTTGCTTCCACCGCTCCCCGTTGGTGAAGACCACTCCTGCAAACGCCAAAATAGGACCATGGGTTGATCTACTTCTTCCTCTAGACTGATCTGATCTTTAGGCTGATCCTGCTGCAGAGAGCAGAGGTTTGGGCAAAGTGGCCTGCAGGGTCCCTTCCAACTCTGTGGTTCTATGCTACTATTATGGCTTTGCATAAAGTGATGCCTAATGGGATGAGAAACTGGAAAACAGGACCTTAATGTTTCTTCATAATAACTAATTTACTAATATAGAACACTGTGAAAAACAAGAACTCTACAAGTATATTGTTTTACTAACTCTTTTAATACTAATATTAAGTTTAACCAGGTCTATTTTTGAGCAGGAACGCACAGGAACGGAGTTCCGGCTGGCTCCCAAGTTGGCCACACCCAGCAGGAACTCATTAGCATAATAGGTCACACCCAACAGCAGGAACTCATTAGGATTGGCTAGATTAGGGGTGTGTGGCCTAACATGCAAAGGAGTTCCTGCTACAAAAAAGCCCTGGGTGTTGACAACAAGCAAGGTAAACAGAATAACAAGCAAAAGGTGGGTGTGGCTGGATAACCACACTTCTGGTAACATGGGGGTGCGGCCTAATGTGCTAATGAGCTGTGCTGTCAGGGGTGTGGTCTAATATGCGAATAAGTTTCTGCTGTTGGGTGTGGCCTATTATGCTAATGAGTTCCTGCTTGGCTTTTTCTACAAAAAGAGCCCTGAAACATAAAGGGGGTCTCCCACTCTTGGGTTTTTAGTTAGTGTGGGTATTTTTCCTTTATTCATAGTTGTAGTTCCCCCTCCTATACTTTTCTTTGTAGTTTGTAGTCTTATTGAAAAAATAAAAATACCCCTCCGGGTTTTTTTTAAAAAAACTTTCATGCCAGTCGCTCACCAACTAGCATCTTTGCTCACCAGACTCCACAGCTCAGAGGGAGTGACTGAGATGAGCTCTTCCAGCCATAGTTGTGGTTATCCTCCAGTTTCTTGCCCGCGTGGGCTTTTATTACCCAGATGCCATCCTGGGATCACTTGCCATTTCAAGCTTCCTCCTGGCTGCCACCAAAATCAGGGACTTGCTATTTTTGTCACGACCAGATGGCCACAAGGTGGCATCAGTAGTAATGTCTGTAGGTTCACGTGAGCAAAATTTGAATTCAGCGGCGCCTTTAAAACCAGCAAAGTATTCCAGGTGTGAGCTTTCGTGTGAAACGGGGAAACGTTCACATGTTCATACACAAAGATTCATTGTTTGTACAAAGTGCTGTCTTATGGTGACCCCCATGGGGTTTTCAAAGTGAGAGAAAGAAGTAGTTTGACATTGCCTGCCTATGAATAGCAACCTTACACATCCCTAGATTTTTCATCCAAGTACTAACCAGGACCAGCCCTGCTTAGCTTCCAAGATCTGACCAGAGTCATTACCCAGTGTAAAATAAAATAAAATAAAATAATCAGGGCCTTGTGTTTGTTTGTTTTTGCAAAAAAGAAGTGCCAGAACTCTCAAGAGGGAAGTTTTCATTCTGTATAGTGAAAACCAGTGCTCCCTCTAAGCTGAGTGAGTGTGAGCTAGCTCAACTGTTTGCTATCTCATGCTTGACCTTGTAGATGTTACAGCTGCAGTTTTACTCAGCTGGGAAAGTGAACGGCTTTTTTGCTTTGCCTGCTTGCTTTGCCCGCACACGAGAACCATAACCATTGGCTTATGCTTACTGGGGGGATGTTTGATTCCACTATAAGTCAGAGGCCCTTGTATAGGCGGCCATTGCTGACACAAGCTGTAAATGTGTCTCTAGTACTGGATCCACCAATAAACAGTTATCTTCTCATGAAGCCCTGTGTGGTGTTGCCTAACTAAAGACCCTGACAACTGGTACATGGTCCCTTGCTGCAGTACCCCTCACGAAACACAATCATGGCAGACAAAGAAACATATATCTACGGTTTGGTGTCGTGGTTAAGTGTGCGGACTCTAATCTGGGAGAACCAGGTTCGATTCCCCACTCCTCCACTTGCACCTGCTGATGTGACCTTTGGGTCAGTCACAAGCTCTGGCACAGCTGTCCTTGAAAAAGGGCAGTTTGTGTCAGAGTTCTCTCAGTCCCACCCACCCCACAGAGTGTCTGTTGTGGGGAGGGGAAGGGAAAGGAGTTTGTAAACCGCTCTGAGACACCTTTGGGTAGTGAAGGGCGGGGTATAAATCCAATCTCTTCTTCTTCTTCTTCTAATGTAAACCTAACCTATTCAGCTTCTTCAGATGTGTGCACACACGAAAGCTTTTACCCAGAATTGAACTTTGCTGGTCTAAAAGGTGCCAACACAGCGACCCTCCTGAATCTAACCTATGATTAACACTCTGCACTGCAGAGGCATGTGCACCTTGCACACGGAGGAATATGGGAACAGGAAAGAACTGGAGCGGTGACATGAAAGACATACTGGTGCAAATAGACACCGTCACCCCTGATGGTACCAGTGAGGTGGACTCAGATGAAGAGAGCGGGAGGCAAAGCTGAGACTTAAGACCCAAAAGTGGGGGTGCAGCTGCCAGGGCCCCACATCCTACTCTCTTCTGAGAATCTGTTGCCTGCAAAAGGAGTCCCGGTTTGTTTCCACTGTGCTCAACTTGTAAATAAAATAAATGTAATAGTGCCATAACTGTAATGCAAAGGAGATTGGGTTGTTTGAGGGGGATGTAGGGTCAAGTCCATGGGGTCACAAAGAGTCGGACTCGACTGTGCGACTGAACAACCACAACAACAAAAGGTCAAGTGACCTCCCCGCCTGAGAAGCGGGAATGAAGATTCCCAGTCACTTCCCACAATTAGAAGAGACACCTTTAGACATTTATCCGCTAGTCTGACATAGTTTGAGCTGTGGTGGCTCAAGTGGTTAAGATGCTGAACTGCAGGCTGTGGAAGGTCGGTAGTTCAGCAGTTCAAGACCCGGGTGCCACATGACGGAGTGAGTTCCCGTCTCTGGTTCCAGCTCCTGCCAACCGAGCGTTCGAAAGCAAGAAATTGCAAATAGATAAATAGGTACCACTTCGGTGGGAAGGTAACAGCGTTCCCTGTGCCTTGGTGTTTAGTCATGCCGGCCACATGACAACGGAAACGTCTTCGGACAGTGCTGGCTCTTCGGCTTAGAAATGGAGATGAGCACCGACACCCTAGAGTCGGATTCGACTGGCTTTCGAGCAAGGGAACCTTTACCTTTACCTTTACCTTTTACATATTTATTGCTTTACAACTGTTGACCTTATAACCTTAACTTGTTGCTTCGTGTCACTTTGCATAGCTTGAACATCATCATGTTACACGTTAATTTGCTGTTCATTCTCTGGCTATACGTTTGAACCTCCCCTGTCATTCTAACGTATTTGATAATGTGTGCGTGTACACAAAAAGCTCATACCTTGAATAAACCTTTGTTGGCCAACCTTCCCTCTAAGCTGTGGAGTCTTGTGAGCAAAAATTCTACTAAGTGAGCTACTGGCATTAAAGTTGTGAGTGAGCAATTTGGCTACCGCATAAATTAGTTTGCTCTGGAGCCATCCCTCCTGAGCTGAGACAAAAAACGCGTGATGTGAGCTGGAGGCTAAAAAGCTGTAAGCTAGCTCACACTAACTCAGCTTAGAGGGAATACTGCCCTGGACTCTAAATTAGTTCCATAACCAGGGGTCATTTCCTGCAGGAGCGCACAGGAGCGGAGCTCCGGCAGTAAAGAGCTCAGGAGGCGGGCACATGCGACAAGCCCCACCCCCTGCTCCCAGCAGCCCTCAGTCGGACCACGAGGAGCAGGAAGCAGCCAAGTAAGTTGCAGAGCCCCCCCTCAAGCCCACCTTCAGGTACAAGCTCTCCCTCCTCTGTGAGGGCAGATCTGCGCGTCCCCCCACAGCTAGCAATCCAAAACAGTCCAGTGGAGCCTGAGCAGTGGGTGTTGCTTCTGACACACTACCGGTGATGTCAGGGGGTGTGGCATATGCAAATAAGTTATGCTAATGAGTTATGCTAATGAGCTCCTGCACCTCTTTTTCTACAAAATGACCCCTGTTGTTGGAATTGCCAGTTGCTCACACTCCAGTACTACGTAGCAATCTCTAAGGAACTATTAATTGATTAGAAGTGGAGAGCGCGTAACATTATGCACATGCTCATTTCCACCTCTCAGTATATTTTATGGGAATGTCTCCCCTTTGCTTCAGAATACCACATGAGGAAATTTTTTGCTACCCCCTAAATTTTGGCTTACACATGCAGTGCTAACAGGCCCGTAGCTTCAATTGGGGCATTTCGGGGCTCCGCCCCCTCAAATGGGAGGCACGCCCCACAACGGCTGCTGCCCCTTCCCCCCTCCCTCCCCCTTTTTTCTACCCCCTCCCCTAGCGCCCCATAAAATTTCCCCATGCCCCACCGACCCAAAATTTCTGGACTCCGGGGCCGAGTGCTAATGACCTCTGGTTTCCCCCCCTGTATATTCACCATAATCTGTGAATTTTTTGTCCAGGGCTGGCATGGGCGCCCTTGCACTGAAAGCTTCTGCGTGATCCACAAGTGCTTCTTTCACCGCTTCGTAACCGCACAGGACCACAGCTGGCTGAGAGCCCATGTAGACTGTGAAAACCGGGCCGTACTTCTCTTGCAGCTACCGGGAGACACAAAAACAGGCCTGACGGTGAGATGTAGGGCGGCGGGTTTTCTCAGTGTCTCTGAAGAAACACCAAGAGACATAAGGCCCCAATCCTTCTCTCCCCTACACCATCAGAAACTCCCTAGTCTCCACAACTATCAAAGGTTCTAGAGACTCGGCTCTTATTGGACTGTCTACGGATGCAACCTCGGGATCCCAGGCCTCCCGTGGCCACCAGAAGGGGATTTGGGGGGGGGGGTTAACATCACCAGACCCAGGTGGGGAAACTCGTGGGGATTTGGAGATGGAAGAAGAAGAGTTGGATTTATACCTCACCCTTCACTCACAATCTCGGAGCAGCTTACAATCGCCTTCCCTTCCTCTCCCCACAACAGATACCCTGAGTGGTAGGTGGTGCTGAGAGAGCTCTTTCGAGGACTTCTTTTGAGAGAACAGCTCTGAGAGAACTTGTGACTCACCCAAGGTCACCCAGCTGGCTGCATGTGGAGGACTGGGGAATCAAACCCGGTTGAGGAGGAGGAGGAGGAGGAGGAGGAGATTGAATTTATACCCCGCCTTTCATTACCCAAAGGAGTCTCAAAGCGGCTTACAATCTCCTTTCCCTTCCCCTCCCCACAACAGACACCCTGTGAGGCAGGTGGTGCTGAGAGAGCTCTTTCGAGGACTTCTTTTGAGAGAACAGCTCTGAGAGAACTTGTGACTCGCCCAAGGTCACCCAACTGGCTGCATGTGGAGTAGTGGGGAATCAAACCCAGTTCTCCAGAGAAGAAGAAGAAGACAAAGAAGAAAAAGAAGAAGAAGAAGAGGCAGAGGAGGAGGAGGAGGAGATTGGATGTATACCTCGCCTTTCACTACCCAAAGTAGTCTCAAAGCTGCTTACAATCTCCTTTCCCTTCCCCTCCCCACAACAGACACCCTGTGAGATAGGTGGGGCTGAGAGAGCTCTTTCGAGGACCGCCCTTGAGAGAACAGCTCTGACAGAACTATGCCTTGCCCAAGATCATCCAGCGGCTGCAAGTGGAGGAGGCGTGGGGAATCAAACCTGGTTCTCCCAGATTAGAGTCCGCGCACTTCACCACGACACCAAACTGGCTCTGGGGAGGAGAGGGACCTCAGTGAGGCACAGTGCCTTACAGTCCACCCTCCAAAGCAGCCACTTTCTCCAGGGTAGCTGATCTCTGTAGTCCAGAGATGAGCTGTAATTCCAGGGGATCCCCAGGTCCCGCCTGGAGTCTGGCACCCCTAAGTGCAACCTGATGCATGCTGACTCGGTTTGCCATCGCCTGCCCTCTGGGCAGGGACCCCAGACTTCCTTGGTGGTCTCCCATCCAAGTACTAACCAGGCCCAATCCTGCTTAGCTTCTGAGACCGGGCTCGCCCGGGCCGTCCAGGTCAGGAGAAGAGATAAACAGAGGCGGTTTGCAACTCTGGCCTCCCTGGGTGGCCTCCCGTCCAAATACCAACCCCGGGCCCACCCTGCTTAGCTTCTAAGATCTGATGAGATTGGACCACACAGGTCAGGGCTAAATGACATCAGAATGTTTCAAAGAGCAATGAACTCATTCCCCGCACCACACCCCCAAGAAGAAGGAGGAGAAGGAGGAGGAGATTGGATTTATACCCCATGGCCCTTCATTACCCAAAGGAGTCTCAGAGCAGCTTACAAACTCCTTTCCCTTCCCCTCCCCACAACAGACACCCTGTGAGGTACGCGGGGCTGAGAGAGCTCTCTCGAGAACTGCCCTTGAGAGAACAGCTCTGCAGAACTATGGCTTGCCCAAGGTCATCCAGCCAGGTGCAAGTGGAGGAGTGGGGGAAGCAAAGCCGGTTCTCCCAGATTAGAGTCTGCACACTTAACCACTACACCAAACAGAGGCTAAGGCCTTCCTCTGATGTTGCCTCCTGGCACTTGGTATTCAGAGTCTCAGAGCAGCTTACAAACTCCTTCCCCTTTCCCTCCCCACAACAGACACCCTGTGAGGTAGGCAGGGCTGAGAGAGCTCTCTCGAGAACTGCCCTTGAGAGAACAGCTCTGACAGAACGATGGCTTGCCCAAGGTCATCCAGCAGCTGCGAGTGGAGGAGTGGGGAATCAAACCCAGTTCTCCCAGATTAGAGTCCGTGCACTTAATCACGACACCAAACTAGAAGGAAGCACCGGAACTTTAGGCAACCAGCAGAGATCTTTCAGCACGAGGCTGATGCAATCTGCTATATCTAGATCCCAACAACAAACTGGCCATGATGTTTTCCTCTAACGAAAACCACCAGACAGTTTGTGTGATTCATACTGCAGCAATCGAGCCTGGTTTCATAGAATGGCCACAGCAGGCATATCAGCCAGAGATGAAAAAGGCACTTTGCCACTACACCAAACTGGCTCTCACACCAAACTGGCTCTCACACCAAGCTGGCTCTCACACCAAGCTGGCTCTCATACCAAACTGGCTCTCACACCAAACTGGCTCTCACACCAAACTGGCAATCAGCACTTTCATTTTACAAAATGAGAACCCAGGCTTTGGGGGGGGGGGAGCAGCATGGCTTTTCTCCTCCAGATCCTGTAGGGAAGATCTGACCCCCACCCCCACCAATAAATAAAGACCCCCCTCCCTGGCTGAAGAACAGGAGCAGAAAGCCTTCCCCACTGTCAAATGTGCACGCCGTCGACCCTCCTCTCCTGTTCTCAACAGCACAGAGCCAGTCCTTGAAAGCGGCACCCCGTGCCCCACCACCACCACGGCAGCCCAGTGACACTCACCCGAAGAAGGGAGCCGATCATGTTCTGAACATTGATATGGAAAAAGGTGCCCACCAAAGGCAGCGGGGTGGGGCCTGGGGGCAGATTGGCCTTGCCGGTGGGTGTCCTCCATAGCAGCAGGATGAGCAGAGCAGCGATGCAGAAAGCCAGGAAGAAGGAAACCTCCCCAGGCAGAACCATCCCGGAACCCGAAGACCTCGTCCCGCTCGCTGTCGAAGTGTCAGTCGCGCGGAGGAGACGACCCTCCCAACGACGACGCCCGATCACGCCGGGCGGTAGAGCTGCCCTGGCCGCTTACAGATTAACCCAGTTCCACAAAGGGTGCCGATGGGGAGAAAGTTCAGCCTGCAGGAGGCGGGCTCAAGAGTTGGCTCTGCCAGGGCCTGCCAACTGAGCATCTACCCATGTGGGGCCTCTTCTTCGCAGGAGTGCCCAGACAATAAAGGCACTGTGGTGGATCCAGGCTGTGGAGTCTTGTGAGCAACAATTCTACTTGGTGAGCTGCCGGCATGAAAGCTGTAGAGCGAGCGATTTGGCTGCTGCATAGACTAGTTTGCTCTGGAGCCCTCCTCCCCGAGCTGAGACAAAAATGTGTGAGCCAGAGGCTAAGAAACTGTGAGCTAGCTCACACTCACTCAGCTTAGAGGGAGCACTGGTCGCCGCGTTACTCCATCGGTAGCCGCAGGATAGAGCTCAAGAGTCCAGCAGCACCTTAAGCACAAGCAAAATTTGCAGCAGGGGAGGAGCTTTCGTGAGCCGCCCCGCCCACTTCTTCAGTGATTGGGCCTTCTGCCAGGTAACAAGACTAATCCTGACCCGAGGGACCTTAGACCCACAAGGATAACAGTCTTTTATCGACTCAGAAAGTCCACATTACATCAGGCAGAGAGACCTGGCAGCAGAGGTCATTTCGGGGGGGAACGCGGGGGATCGCAGTTCCCCCGGGTGAGGTGCAGGGGGAGGGGTACATGACGAGACCCCGCCCCCTGCTTTCGGCCGCCCTGCTTCCGGCCCTCATTCAGCCAGGAGGAGGCAGGAGAAGAGGGAGGGTAAGTTGCTTCCTCCCCGCCTCTCCCCACCCCTGCCTGCCTGGGGCCAGGGAGGGCCTTGGCGGGGCTTCCTCGCACTCCTGCCGGCCTTGCAGGTCCACCGCCGGGCCCCTCATGGGGCTCGGCAGTAAAGCTGCAAGGCCGGCGTTGGTGGCTGGGACCGTTGGGGGCAGGGTGTGTGGCCTTATGACACACTTCCAGTGATGTCAGGGGGTGTGGCCTTATGACACACTTCTGGTGATGTCAGGGGGTGTGGCATATGCTAATGAGCTATGCTAATGAGTTCCCCTAGCTCTTTTTCTATGAAATGACCCCTGCCTGGCAGATACAACATTCCCCCCCCCCTCGTGCCCCTGTGGGATTCTGAGAAACTGACTTCCGCAGAGAGAGGAAAGGAAGGGTGCTCTCTCCTGCAGAGGGTCTGCAAAATACCTGGGAAGCTCTTCTCAAGCACCGGGGCTGTTTGTCTGCAAAGTCACACTACAGAGCAGCCACCATGTCCCTCGTAAGAGAAGCCAGTGTTGGGTCAGGCCAATGGCACATCCAGTCCAACACTCTGTGTCACACAGGGGCAAGAAATACCAGGGGCCATCAGGAGGTCCACCAGCAGGGCCAGGACACTAGGCGCCCTCCCACTGTTGCCCCCCCCAAGCACCAAGAATACTGAGCATCACCTGCCCCAGACAGAGTCTTCCTTCCATCTATATCTTGTGGCTAATATTATATGTTTATCCAATCCCCTCTTGAAGCTGTCTATGCTTGTGGCTGCCACCATTTCCTGCAGCAGTGAATTCCACATTTTAATGACTCTTTGGGTGAAGAAGGACTTCCTTTTATCTCTTCTAAGCCTACTTCTCCTCAATTTCATTGAGTGCCCTTGGGTGACAAACCCGAGTCCTCGTTTGCCGTGGATTTCACCTGTTCTGCTTTCCCTGCCTGTGCTGTACCCAGGGGTCATTTGCGGCAGGAGTGCACAGGAGCGGAGCTCAGGCAGTAAAGAGCCCAGGGGGCGGGCACATGCCACAATCCCCACCCCCTGCTCCCAGCAGCCCTCAGTCAAAGCAAGAAGCAGCCAGGTAAGTTGCAGAGCCCCCCCCCCGGTCAAAAACAGTCCAGTGGCACCTTTAAGACCAAGTTTTATTCAGGTACAAGCTCTCCCTCCTCTGTGAGGACAGATCTGCATACCCCCCCCCCATAGCTAGCAATCCAGTGGAACCTGAGCGGTGGGTGTTGCCTTCTGACACACTTCCAGTGATGTCAGGGGGTGTGGCATATGCAAATGAGTTATGCTAATGACTTATGTTAATGAGCTCCTGCGCCTCTTTTTCTATGAAATGACCCCAGATGTTGCTTTCAACAGACACCCTGGGAGGTCAGTGGGGCTGAGAGAGCTCTTTCCAGAACTGCCCTTGAGAGAACAGCTCTTGTCAGAACTATGGCTTGCCCGAGGTCATCCACAAGGAGGAGGAGTGGGGCATCAAACCCGGTTCTCCCGGATTAGAATCCGCAACACTGAACCACGACACCACATTGACTCTCACACCCAACTGGCTCTCCAGGGTAACTCCTCTCCATTGTCTGGAGATGGGTTGTAATTCCAGGAGACCTCCAGGCCCTACAAGGAGATGGGCAACCCTATTGTGCAGGGGGGCCCTCCCCACCCTCACTTTCGGCAGCAGCGGATCTCAAGGCCCTCTTCTTCCTGATTGGACGGATGCCTCGTTCATCCCGAAGAGTAATTTGCTACTAAAGACACTCCATTTCCATCCATCCGCCACGGGCCTGACAAACGCCACGCACGGCAGCCAACGGATTAAAATGATGATTAAATTCTCTCTCGGCCGCCCTGGGATTAGAGATCAGATGCCTGGCAGCTGTAATCCCCAAGGGCATTAGAGGGGGAGGGGGGGCGCTGCCGTTCGGCAGTGTGGGGCCGACCTCCAGGAGGGTCCGGTGAAGTCCACGTTCAGCCACCGACAGCAGGGGAGGGAGTTCGAGGGATGGGGCAGGAGACAGGCAAATTGTGAGGAAGCCGAAGGAGCTTGGAAAGGGATATTTGAAAAGATAAACTAACAACTGTGGTTTTCACTAAGTGTGGCACCGTTTCTTGAGTAGCCCTATTGCTTTTGGCTGGTTGCCCAGCCACAGAGACACTGGGAAGATGCGTTTAAGAAGATAAGGACATAAGAGAAGCCAGTGTTGGATCAGGCCAATGGCCCATCCAGTCCAACGCTCTGCGTCACAAAGTGGCCAAAAAATACCAGGTGCCATCAGGAGGTCCAGCAGTGGGGCCAGGACACCAGGAGCCCTCCCACTGTTGCCCCCCAAGCACCAAGAAGACAGAGAACATAAGAACATAAGAGATGCCAATGTTGGATCAGGCCAAAGGCCCATCCAGTCCAACACTCTGTATCACACAATGGCCAGAAATACCAGGTGCCCTCAGGAGGTCCACCAGTGGGGCCAGGACAGTAGAAGCCCTCCCACTCTTGACCCCCCCAAGCACCAAGAAGACAGAGCATCACTTGCCCCAGATTCCATATCTATACGTTGTGGCTAATAGCCACTGATGGACCTCTGCTCCATATGCCTATCTAATTCCCTTTTGAAGCCCTCCATGCTTGTAGCCGCCACCACTTCCTGTGGCAATGAATTCCAAGTGTTAATCACTCTTTGGGTGAAGAAGTACTTCCTTTTATCCGTTCTAACCGGACCGCTCAGCAATTTCATGGAGAGCATCCTTTGCCCCAGACATAAGAGAAGCCAGTGTTGGATCAGGCCAATGGCCCATCCAGTCCATCGCTCTGTGTCACAAACTGGCCAAAAAATACCAGGGGCCATCAGGAGGTCCACCGGTGGGGCCAGCACTCCAGAAGTTCTCCCACTGTTGCCCCCCAAGCACCAAGAAGACAGAGCATCACTGCCCTAGACAAAGTGTTCTATCTATCCCTTGTGGCTAAGAGCCACTCATGGACCTCTGCTCCATAAAAGAACATAAGAGAAGCCAATGTTGGATCAGGCCAATGGCCCCTCCAGTCCAACACTCTGCATCACACTGTGGCCAAAAGTACCAGGTGCCCTCAGGAGGTCCACCGGTGGGGCCAGGACACTAGAAGCCCTCCCACTGTTGCCCCCCCCCAAGCACCAAGAATACAAAGCACCACCTACCCCCAGACCGAGAGTTCCTACCTATACCTTGTGGCTAATAGCCACCAATGGACCTCCGCTAGGAGGTCTTCCTAGGAGGGGAAGACAAGAAGCAGAGAAACTAGCCTTGACTCAGAAACAGGGATAGGTTACTTCCAAGGCTCCCTCTATGCTGTGGAGTCTTGTGAGCAAAAAATCTACTTCGTGAGCTCCTGGCATTAAAGTTGTGAGCGAGCGGTTTGGCTGCTGCATAGTTTGCTCCGGAGCCCCATCCTTCTCGAGTGAAGACAAAAATGTGTGAGCCGGAGGCTAAAGAAACCTGTGAGCTAGCTCACACTAACTCAGCTTAGAGGGAACACTGGTTACTTGCCTCAGGTGGACTGACCAGCCAGGCTATTATCAGGAGCTAGACAGAACTTGCATATTACTCCGATCCCGCAGGCTCAACTCAAGGCACAAAAATGGAAACAAAAAAAATATCCCTACTCTAATGTGTTGCCAAAAGAAAATTTGGGAGAGTTCCATTTATGGGCGCACTTCACATAACTCTTCAGCTATGCAGTCGGAAAAATATCAAAAGTGGTTTCAGGCGGTATGGTTTCCCATGATCAGCTATTTAGAAAACAGCGAGATAATTCCAAATAACCCGGTATATAGAAACTTACTTTTCTTTTGACTATTCTGTAACCCTAAAATGTCTGTTTGATGCTGCAGGGGGTGGGGCTTGTTGCATGTGCCCGCCCCCTGGGCTTTTTACTGCCGGAGCTCCGCTCCTGTGAGCTTCTGCAGGAAATGACCCCTGAATCTGTTTACATAAGTTTTTTAACCCTCTTTCTGTGTCCCATTTAAATGTCATATTATGTTGTAACAGTGTTGAAAAAAATTAATTAAAAACTAATTTTTAAAAAATTCAAGGCACTTTCTATCCCATACAAAGCCCCTTGGGCCCTTATACCTGCACGCCCACCTCTCTCCCTACGTCCT